TGGCTTTTAGGAGCTCCTTGCAAAACAAAGGCTGTGATGGAGATAAGATACAGAGGGAAGCAGGAAGGGCTGAGTAGGGGGAGGGCAAGTGGCCTGATAGGTCTTGTCCATTCCTTTCACTTCAGATCTGTGAGCCACACAGGGGGAGTTAGCAAATCAAATATCTGGAAGCCTGAGGTGATGGCGGTAAAGGGCAGAGGTGGGGGAGTCCCGTGAGTGTCAGAGGAAGCTTTGTAAGTGACCCTCGCTTCAACTAAACCTACTGTATGAAAATCTGCCTATCTGAACCAGACAGAACGGGGGTTGATTTTTCTCCTTGCAGCTTCCCAGTTTCCAGGTTGGCTGTTAATTAACGCCCCATGTGATCCTTTCCACCTCTAAGCCTGTGTGCAGCCAACAGATGAGGGGGCAACCTCTGGATTCCTGCATCTTCACCTTCGTTACACTTCCTCATCTCTGATTCTCGAAATAACCTCTGCTTCCCTGGACTGGCTGGCCCACCCTGAGCGTGATTCATTAAGTGCAATGTGTACAGAGCTTTTTGAAAAGCACCTATTACTTCAGTAAGACCAAACAGCCCTGTTGGCTTGCTAAAGTTCCGACTTCAGCCACAGCCTCTTTCATCTCCCTGAAGTCCCCAGCCACAGGGTGACAGGTAAGGGGTTGGGAGAGTCATCCAATGCCTGGAACCATGCAAATGTCTTAAATTAGCAATGAAAATCAGACCTGGACCACTAGCCCGGGGAAAACCCAGACTGTGGCACAGTGCAGCAGCCGGCACAGGGTGACCCACCACACCTTTCAAAGGCTCAAAGCTGTCAGGCGCATCAAGTGAGGAGAACTGGAAAGAGAATGGGAATATCCAATTATGAGGCATGTTGACATTAAGCGAGTCACCCGAGAAGAGCCTGGGAGAGAGTGTAGCCCCCGGGGACAGCTGAGCTTTGAAACACGGGACAGAAAAGGCAATGGTGAGTGAGAAAGGAAACCTGCTCCACTGAGACAGGATCGAAAATAATCTAGCAGCTAAAAGCTTTAGCTGCTGTTCACTGAGACCTGTGTGTGCACCCACCCAGGGGCGTGTGTCGCCTACACTGTGGCATGGAACACACTGATGAGACAACATGCCTGTCTCTGTCGTTTGACAGAGAAGCAAACCTGAGGCATAAAAACAGCTATGTAGCTTCTCCACACCACATAAGCGGAACTCCGGCCAATTCTATTTTCAAACCCACGATCCTAACTAGACCTCTTCCCAAGTAGGGATTAGAGTGGTTATCCTCCTACACCCCAAAATCCTGTTCCTTCTACCTGTCTTTTTCCAGTATCGCCACTGAGAACCTGTTCACCTTGCTAGAGCCCACTGCACGAACCTACCATCCACGGGGCCCTTACCTGAAAAAAAAAAAAAAAAAAGACTAGGATGGGCCTTTCAAAGAACTATCTGGACGGTGTTTAAAACCTTTGGTGGTGGTACACTCTGACTTCAGATGAAAGAGCCTGGAGGTAGGAAGAGCCAGAAGCCATCTGAAGCGTGCCTCAAACACACTGATATAAAAGCTGAACTGAGGGCCACTTGCTAATAAAATACTCGGTGCCTAAAAGAGGAGCATTAAAAAGATGCCCAAAGTCCTGCAACGAGGAATAAAGATATCAATTTCCTTTATTCCCTGATTCATCTGGTTTAATATTTTAGACGCATTGACTTTACCACGTCAGGCTGCGTGGGTCACTGGGAGAGGAAATTTCTTCCCGCCAATGGCACCATCCACAATGGGCAGATATGCATTCAATCCTGCTGGGTAGGCCCTGAAGAACTGAAAGAAAGTGGGGGAGGGGAGCGTTGATTTTCAAAGAATGGACGACAGAGCTATGAAGAAATCCAGACCCTTGTCTGAGACCTAGGTGAAGAAACTCCACAGACCAGACTAGAAGACTCATAAGAAGTCGTTGATATTTCTGATTTTACTTGGAAGATCTTGGGCAATGTGTCTTCCTTTCATTATGCTAGAAACTAATCTTGATGTCTTCTTGGACATATTTCTGTTCCCTGATAAATTCGTGTTGGCTAGAGTCAGGTCCAGCAGGCAATTGCTAAATGTTTATTTACTAGCTGAGTGAACAAGTGAATGTTTTCATACGGATCCACCACACCCTTGTTCTAGAGAAACGTATGTCAGTAGTTCCTGTCAACTTCAGTGGCCCTACTCTGTACAGTATAAGCGACCCTCACTCACAGCTACTGGGCCAGGAGAGGACACTGTCCCCAGGGATAGTCAGTATCTGTTTGCAGTCTGGCAAATAGCAGCAGCCTGTGAGACTGGCTACAAAGCAAGATGAGCAGGCCTGATAAGAGCTTCCATTTCGGATATCCAGAGAAACAGGTACTAAATGGGACATCTGTTATACACTCCTCCCCTCAAGGGACATCACAAAAGAATGAGCAGAAAGACTATGAGAGTGAAGAGAGGAGAACCAGAGAAAAACTGTGTCTATTGGATATGACAGGACAGCTGCGCTCGTGAATTCACAATAGCTGTGGGTACCTGAACATGACACATAAGATCAAGCCAGCCAACCTGCCAGCATGGAGAGAGGAGGAGCTCAGAAGCTCCCTCTCCTTGCTGAGGGGTTTTTGTCAGTTAATGGTGGTAGGGGGAGGAGAGGTGTGGTCCCTGAGAAGTTGGCCATGCTCCAGATAATGGTCCCATACCCTGGCCTACATAAGCAGCACAAACTGGGCTTAGTGAGTTATTTATAAACAAAAGACGTTGAAGCTGGGAGAGGTAGGGTGCAATGGATATAGGAAAAATTAGGAAGATTTTGGGGGGTGAATATGATCAAAGTACATTGTATGCATGCATGAAATTCTCAAAAAATTATATATATATATATATATATATATATATATATATATATTAAAGCAGTACTGGGGGAAACTGACACTGTGTGTACTCTGAAGGAATTGTAGCCCCCGTGAGTTCAGAGGTCCTGTCCATCTTGTTTCCAAAATTTTTCCCAATGCATAGAGGAAACACTAAAGAAAATCTCCAAAGTGAAGAATCACAGGGTATCATCCTGGGCAGCCATTATGAGACAGGTGCATAATGGGTGAGCTAGGAAAACTAGCCAGCTGAGGGAAGAGCCTGGATCCCATAGTACAAGAGATAAATAAATAAATACACGAGCAAGCAATGAGAGCAGGAGAGAGACAGAGACAGAGAAAGACACACACACAAAGAGAGAGAGAGAGAAGAGAGAGAGATGCTGGTAGGTCTGGAGGCCACTGCCTGTCTCCTCCATCATCTGTTGTGTTTGAACCAGTGAAAACCTGTTCCCTTCCTTGCAGCCCTAACAGCCCATGCATAGCCAGGCAATAGAGCATGGCTTCATCCTCATGGGAAAGACCCTTGGTGTTACACAATAGTTACTCAAGTTGTTCTTTTCTTTTATTCATTTGGTTTTGGGCTGGGAAAGAAAGGGGACTCTCCAAAGTCTTATGGAATTGATGTCATCATGTGTCTGGGCTGAGTATCCCTTGCTACAATTGGGGTTCCAATGTCCCTCAAAGGCTCATGTGGTAAAGGCTTGGTGGCCACATGGTGGTACAATCTGGAGGCAGTGGCAACTTTAGGAGGTGGGGCCTAGTGGGGCAGTACGGTGACTGAAGGCAAGTCCCTGCAGGGGATATGGGGACCCTCCTCCCTTCTCTTCCAATATCCTCTCACTTTCTGGTCACTATAGGCAACTGTGCTCTATCACAAGCCTTTCAAGGTGCCCCATATCTCCAAAATCCCACAGCAACAAGAACAGTCAGTCATGGACTCAGACCTCAAAAACTGTGCAGCCGAACAAGTGTTTCCTCCTAAGTTGAAGCCTAGGGCACTTGGCCACAGAAGCAGGAAGCCAGCTAACAGCTCTTTGCTTTCATTCTCTGCTGGAGCTGCTCATTTCCAGCTCGGCTGCAATGCAGGGGCTCACTCAGTTGAGCCTAAGTCACAAGGCAATACCAGCACCAAACAGAGGTTGGCAAGTGGGATGCTGACGATTGTGCACAGACAGACCAGCTCTGCACTCAGGCAGATTACCTCATGCCTTTGAGTGTCATTTTCTTTTCTAAAACAGAGGAAACAGCATACAACCCTCACACCATCGCTAGCACCCAGAACATAGGACTCCTGTGAGTAAGCTGAGAGACCCACTGTGTCTGTGAAAATCTACACTTCACAGGGGATTCTCCTATATTTTAACTCATGTGAATCTCATAACAAATATGCAAGATTTGCAAAGTAAAGCCTAGCGCTCCCATTTTACTGAGGAAGAAACTGAGGTATAAGTAGGCTGAATATATTAGTCAGAGAAAGTGGCCATGCTCCATTCCAAGTCCAGCATCTTCCTACATTTCTGCCCTTATCACAAGAACATGAAACAATTACCCCACAAGAACATCGGGTAACTGAGGCAGGAGAATTGCTCTGTGTTCAAAACTAGCCTGGGCTACTTACTGAGCTCTAGACCAGCCTGGGGTACAGAGTGAGAGCCTATATCAATGTGAAACGCTACTAAAGACTAGAAGGGAAGGAAAAGGGAAAGAGGGAGGAAGTAGGGAGGGAAGGGGGGAAGGAGAGAGGGAAGGAAGAAGGCAATCAGGTGGGCAATGAAAAGCTACCTTTACACTGGCTGCCATTCTTTTGCAAACATCCACAAAACTTTGTTCAAATATTTGTATAGAAATATTTGACCCTTGGTGTTACACAATAGTTACTCAAGTTGTCCAGGAGATGGATGGATGGATGGATGGATGGATGGATGGATGGATGGATATTCTATATCATTCCTGATTAACAATAAAACCTAGGCTTTATTCTGGGCTGAGATCCTCACAGTCCTTCCTGGTAGGTAACGCTCTCCCTCCCCCGGAAACATCTGAATCAGAGGCCTGGCCCTAGGCAGACGCCCACCACCAACTCTTCCTGTGCCAGCCTGTCCGTTCCACGTACTGGTTTCTGCAGTTTCATACTCGCTGTCTCTGAGAAGCTCAAAGATGTCCACTTCGACCTTGGCCTTGCCCAGCCTCTCTGGTGCGCGGTTGATGCGGTTCTTGGCCAGGGTGATGGAGAGCCGTTCCCCTCTGCTGCACTCCATGGGGTCATCCAAGATAGCGGCTGTGGGTAGGTAACCATATGGAGACAGTCGGTTTGCCACCTACCACCATTACCCCTCCTCCTTCTCCACCCTCCCCGCACTGCCACCTTCTTCTCCAGGCAGCTCCCTCTCCACCTCGACACCCACGACACCCACAGAACGCTCCAGAGTGAGTTCACCGCATGCTCAGTCTCTGCTCACAGGTGTAGCCTGGAATTCTAATGGGATACGCACCTGAGGAAAAATGCAATGCCACAGCCTGGCCACCAGGGGTCCTACCTGTCCGAGGTCGCTAGGCCTAGGTGCAAAAATACCCTCAGAGACTGGTCCACATGTACTCGGAAAGGCACATGCGTGCTACCCGTTTGAAAACGGAATTCTAAGTCTACAGGAAACTCCCTGAGGAGAGAGGCGGCTATGCATCTGTGAGGGACAGCTGTGGGAGCAGGGAAGCAGCTGCAGAGTGCTGTGGGATGCTCACACTCCAGTCTCCAGTGCCCATGAGCCATGTGTCTCAGACGAGCTATAAAACTTTGAATATCTTTTCTTCACTGAACATTGCAGTAGTAAAGACAAACTCTCTGGGTAGTGGGGGGATTCAGTTCAGGTAATGGAGGTCAGGGACTTGTCTGGATTTAAGCAGTGTGGCAGTCAGTGTGAATTACTTGGAGAGGTACAGTTCGAGATGCTGCCCAGCCTGGAATAATGTGACGGGAATCACAGAGAACAGGGCTCCTGTCCCAGCCCCACCCCATATTAGCTAACAGATCTGTTTCCTTATTTTAAGAAAAAACGGGGAAGAAAGCTACTCGTTGGGCTACTGTGAGAAGTACATGAGATGGGACATACTCAGGGCGGTCTTGCATCTAGTCGGCGCTCAATAATGATGGTTACTGATGCTCTTAACTCTCTTCATGGGAGAGCTGAAAAACTGACACTCAGCACACAGACTTTTACGTAAACATTCACAGCTCACAAAGACTACTCACAAAGACTAAAATGTGGAAACGATTCAACTGTCCATCAACAGAGGGGCAAGGGAGATACTGGTTTCCTAATGCAGAGGATTATTACTATTAAATAAGGGGAATAAAATGTTTCTACATGTGACAACATGGATGAGCCTTAACAACATTGCTCCAACTAGAAGACACACACACACACACACACACACACACACACCCCAAAATATTGGATGGGTCTATTAATACAAAAATATCTAGACGAAGAGAATCCATAGAGATACAAAGAAGAGTAACAGTAGTAGGGTTATGAGACAACTGTGAATATAGTAAAAACTGTTGAGCTGTATGCTTTAAGTGAAGGAATTATGACAAATATGAATTTTAACTTCAAAAAAAGTAATTATTAGAAAGAGAAAACTATCAAACTTATCTCTCAGAGGTTGAAGGAAACATGGTGTATCATGACAGACTCCATGGCCCTGAGTGGCCACGGCCAGGTGGCCCACAGGAAGATGTTCCTAAGCTCTCACATTCACAAAAAAAAAAAAAAAATGCTGACTTGGTCTTATTTAACGTTCCATCACTGTGACAAAGTCCCCGAGGCAATCCCTGTACCTTAATGGCCCAGGTTCCCTGCTGTTGTTTTGCCCATTGCTGTCATACACACAACTGACATCTCACAAAGAAAATGCCAGGACGGCGGTGAGGAGCGTGACAAAGCATTTTTCCTGACTTGTGGATCTATTCACATGCACGCTCTCAGGGAACAACGTAAGCTCAGTTTCGCATTCACAGTGTAGGCTCCAGCGAGCATGCAGTGGAGGCGAGTCCCAAGGCCTAGGCAATGAGGTGGACGCATTAACTAGAAAGGCACACATGAAGTGACCAGCCACCTGTAGGGGTGGCCGAAGAGGCAGACCTGGGAAGACTTTTAAAATCCCTGCTGATGTGACCCATAACACATGTTCACATTCCTTGTGATGGCAGAACTTGGGAATGTTCTGACCTCACTCTCAGTATTCATGTCTCACTGGACTGGCTCAGGGAGCAGGACTCAGAACGAGACAGCTCTAGGGAGCAGAGATGGGAGGAGCCACACTGTGTCACAGCAGGCTGACAACTTGAGACTTTAAGGAAGCAGGGATGGTGAGGAATGGCTCCCCAGATGATGTTCCTTAGTGGACAGACCAACATTCCTTCTAAATGCAGACAGCTGGGGTGTAGCCCACGCCAGTGGCGACCATTACAGCTTCACATCCATCTGTTATGGATATTGGATTCTATAAGATCTGATCCTGGGAAACAAGCTTTACAGCAAAGTTACATAGTAGCAGTTAGACTGTCCCTAGAGAACAGGAAAGACATCTACTGCAGTAGGAATTGGCAGAGTCCAACAGAGTCCTGGGCAGGAGATCCTGGGTCCAAGATAGATCTGAGCATTGTACTCAGCAACAGTGGTGTGTTTAGTGGACTTGTCACAATTGCATCCTCAACACAGCAAGCCCGGTGCCTTGTCTTCACGTGAGAGGAGAAGTGGGGGTTCTGAGGAGGATGGAAAATTGCCCATGATTCCAGAGCTGATGAGTGATGGAGGAGGAAGGGGTCACAAGTTGGCCTGACCTCAGACACCCAAACCTGTCCTCCCAGGACTTGGACTAAAGACAGAGTGCAGCAGGTAGGGACCCTGCATCTGACGGGGCACTTTAAAGGAAGTGTCACTGAGGCAAATCAACTCTGAGACACTAACAGTGACAGGCTGGATCATGTAACTTGGAAAACCTCCAGGTAATTCCTCTGCTTTCCTATGCTTAACACACGTCACACCCTGATGAGCTTCTCCAACTAAGAGGCAGCCATCCTATTAACTATTAACATCAACTAGATACTTTATAAATTACTTGTAATAAACTAATCACTCAAGAAAATATCATAAGGTTTAGGTCTGAAGGGTGCCCCAAAGGCTGGGTCTACTGGAAACTCTTGGAACTTCAAGAACTGGGCCATAGTGGAAAAAAGTTAAGTCGCTGAAGGGTGACCAATGATCCTGACCCCCTCCCTTTCTCCTTCCTGGCCACCAGAGCAGAGGGGCTTTCTCTGCCACATACTTCCACCATGATACAGAGCCTCACCGTGGTCCCTAAAGCGAAAGAGTCAAGCAACCAGAAACAGAAGTCTGACTTCACAGTTCACAATGATGGGGCCCTGAACTCATAGAGTTAGCGGCCCTCTCAGAAGAGAGAAGGAACTCAATCACTTGCTCTCTACTTTGAGAAGACACAGTGAGAAGATGATCCTCTGCTAGCCAAGAAAAGAAGCCTCACTAGGAGCAGACTTGACCAGCTCCATGACCTCAGACATCCCAGAGAACACGGAGAAATGAAAGTTCTGTTTAAGCCACTTGGTTTGCAATCTCACTGTAGAGCATCCTAAGCTGATTAAAGACAATCTGTTAATACAAACTCTGGTGTGCAGGCCCCTAGCCAACTGTGTCACACATTGTACACCCAACACCCAGGGCATTATCTGACATACTGAGTCAGAGGAATAATGGTCAGCAGAAAGGAATGAGGGAAGCCAATGATGGAACCTCTTTTTTCCTTCCCCATGAGGTCCTCAGGGTTATTTATCAACCCTGTTCCCCATGCCCACTCCCAGGCCATCCTGGGCACCACATTTCACTAAGCTTTTGGTTCTTGCTGGTGATTAATTTCTGACAGGGAAGAGGCTTGACTGGGTGTTTTGTTGGCATCAAACGTATTGGGACCAGGATGATTAGCTTGAAAACAGGAACTGAATTCTAGGGCTGTAAATGCCAAAGACAAGAGCAGGCGGAGGCTCAGGCTCTCCCAGGATGCTGAAGGAACATGTCCCCAACAGGCAGTTACCAGACAGCACACTTGCTCTTCGGCAGTCCCAGGAGAGGGGCCAGATGGATGGAGGAGAGCAGTGTGCTCGAGACTTAATGTGCAGCGGATGCTCCTGGACCACACTGGGTCCCTCAGGCCCAGCTCGTAGGCTAGGCCAGGATGTTCAGAGTTCCCAGCTGCTGCCAAATGAGGAACGGTGTGAGCCAGCACATCCTGTGGCCCTAGGGACTGCTCTGCACAAGAGTCAACTAGTAGCCATGGTGAGACTGAGAGGTCCGGGGTGCAGCAAGGGCAGGGGTGAGGTGGGGAGACTCATGCTGGGACTAGGGTCTGCCCCTTTATCTAGCCGTGTAGACTCAGTAGTGCCCAGTGCTTCTCTGGTCCAGCAGGAGTCAGCACACCTTCTTCATGTCAAGACAGCCTTTGCATTCTCGCAGAGTCTCTCCCTCAAACCCTAAGCATTATGTTCTCTGCTGAGCTCGCTCCCCATCTGGGGTCTGAGGCTCCTGACAATGGAAAGGCTGCCTGTTCACAGTGTGTGTCTTTATCCATGTTCTCCTCCCAATACTTGTATGCTTTCGGCCTGGCTCACCCTACTATCGCACAGGCTAGCTCAGCGCTGGTAAGTGTGAGCAGGCCTGTGCGAGGCGGATGCATAACTACTGATTCGCCTTTTATTCCAGTCTTAAGCACTGGGATTTGCCTTTGATAAAACGCAGCTGGCACCCTCTCACCACTGGAATATTTCCACCCACCTGTGCTGCCACCTCTGCCTCTGCTGACAACAGCCGGTTCCTTCTCTCCTCTTACCCTTGTCTGAACTCTTCTCCCTACAGACGCACCTCTTCCTGAAAGCCTTCTCCAACTCCCAGACCCCTGTGTTCTCTTCCATAGATTTCCTGAGAATAGTTCCCTGTCCCACTGGCAGAGACTTGAATGACCACCTGTGTGTGCTCTCAGCTGCTCATGCTTTCCATGGACCGATAATTCCTTCCTGCCTGCTTGCTTTCCCAGATGGCTCATCTCAAATGAACTCCCTTCCTTTTAGCTCTATGAGTGATTCCTGCTGCCTATCTGTGGCCTCCATGTTTTTTGTTGTTTATTTTTTTTCCCTCTTACTCACTCAACTCTTTGAAGGAGTGGGTTGGCCAAACCTGATTCATCTTGGTAAATGGATGAATCTGGACA